AACACAAAGCGTAAAATATCCTCTGTATGTCATTGATGAAGCACCACTTGATGATTGTGCTATGGATAATATCATCCAAACAACAAAGCGAGAGCGTTTACAAAAACAAAGACTTAGTCGTGTCGAACACGAACTTCGTTTTTTTCAGCAATGTCCGTCTGTGGTTATTGTAGATGACGATTGCGACGAGAATAATCACGATGATTGCTACAGCGAACAATCCTACGCTACAGCCACTTCATCAATGTGTTCGACTCGTTCTGGCGTCATCTCACGTCATGATTTTAAACGATTTCTTGCTCAGCAGAAAGAAACGTTTAACTCAACTCCTTCTGTAAGTCCTGACGAAATTCGACAGCTACTTTTGACTATAAGCCACGGAAAGCACGATGTTGTGAGCGCCACTACAGTCTAAACAAAGAAATCTATAATTTTGTCAGCGTGGTAAGTGTGCATTACTTGTTACAATCAAAAGATCTTGTCCCATCGTTCGCCTTTCGGTTGAATTTCCACATGACGGATTCCGATGTCTTCTTCGTCGTACAAAATTCTTACATCTAATCTCTCGTTTGGAATACTTTGTTTTTCAAATCGATCTGGCCACTCAATTAGCGTTACACCTCGTTTAAAGGCTTCAGCGAGTCCTAACGCCACTGTATCTTGCTCTGTAACAGTCTCTAGACGGTAGAGGTCCACATGGTAGACTATTGGAAGTTCTTTAGCTTCATCGTACGTATTCACTAGCAAATACGTTGGCGACGTCACCAATAGATTCGATCGTTTCGTATAAGCTCGTACAAATCCACGGGCTAAACACGTTTTGCCACACCCTAAGTCTCCGTAGAGAAAAAGCACGTCACCAGCTCGTCGATCTTGCGCTAATCTCTCGCCTAATTTCTCCATCTCTCGTTCTGATCTGGTCGTATAAGTACAAAAGTGCTGTGTCCGATGTAGAGTGACACACTTCTCAATAGAGAACGAGGATACTGCAGCAAATGACGCCAAGCGATGGCGCAAACATCGAGCGAGCATTTTGATCTTGTTGAAGCTTTAATGTGGTACACATAGCTTACACGATATGGTGAGAATTAGCCAATCGCATAATAGGATCTTCACAAAAGGTTAAGCATGTCAGGATGGGTGAGCGCGTGGCTACAGGGTAAGACCGAGAACGATGACGAGAGCACATCCGAAGGTTTTCAGACAAGTGGGAACACACTTTCAAATGGTGTCGTTCCTCCTTCCAATGACGAGATTCGGCGCAAGAGGCTCCAGAAGCTCCAAGAGCAGCAGGAGGCTGCACAAAAGGCACATTTAGCCAATCAAACGGCAGATAAAGTAGACAAAGACATTATTATGACCAATCTCGACGCTTCATTGCCTCAAACTGATAAAAAGCAGCGTGTCGAAGACGTATTACCTACAGTTGAGCCTCAAGTAGCGCCAAAAGAGCCTCAAAAGCTGAAAAAAACTGGACTTTCACCTGAAATTTATGTGAATGATATGCTACAGCGCGTGCTCCATGTGACATTGTCATCAAACACTAGCAGTCAGACTTTGCTGCATTTCTCGAATTTTGAAGATACACGACTTACAATAGCCAATGTTAGTGAAGTGCTTTATGCTCGAGTCACAATGAATCCAGCCGATCTTCCAGGAGGAATTCAACATCCTTTAGCTGCCGTAGCATATCTCGAACAAGTTTTCTATCGCTGTCAAGACGAAAAACAAAAGTTACAGTCATCGTTTTTGCGTCTTTCACCTGATACGAAAAAAATTTTTTGTGATTGTCTTGACAGTATCCACGATATGTGCATCAACTATAGTGCCACTGCATTAACCGATCCCGATATCTTTCCTTTTGAAGTTGGAACCATTAACGTTGATGCATTGGAAAAAATTGTGCGAGTGCAAGCCAATGCACTTACAAGTGAGTTTGTTGATGGAGTAGTGACTGTATTAGAGGAAAATGATGCAACGCAGGTGATATTTGCACCGATATTTCAAAAATTACTGGCTGAATTATTCATGATCAATCCACCGTCGTTGATGTCAAATTTTTACGAAAACATGTACATTGTGACTGTCTTGTGTCGTAATAAAGCGCTAGCGACAGTTTTTAGTCAAATTCCGGGTTTTTTATTGACACCAGGACCACCGATGACAGGTCGTCGGCTTCAAGATGCTACTGCATTGGGTTTACTATTGCGCTTTAGCTGCAACCAGGACCCAGCGATCACTCAGATGTTTACGAATATTACGAAACGCACTAAGAATGATGTGGATAACTCGATTCTAGCCATTCGCAACAAATTGGATAATGTACAAGCCACAGTGTCAGATATTGTGACGTTACTGCTGAAAGCAGGTGGTTGTGCTCGTGAACAAGTGCTGGCGTGGATGGAGCAAGCCATGCAGGTTAATGCAGAACGTGCAAAGGAAAATCCAGACGTGAATATCACGTCTACGAACGGAATGTTCGTGAATCTGACGATGGTGCTTTTGAAATTATGCGGTCCATTTCTAGCACCAAATTCAAACAAAGCTAAATTAATCAAGACAGAGTACTTAATGATGCAAAACCCTCTGTTTCCGTTTGACGAGACAAGATTACTTGGCACTGGTACTGACACTGCATCATCGCAACAGGACGATCGACAGATACTGAATATTGCCGACTTTAACTTCATTACGCGTTGTTACTTTATCTCGGCTCGAGCATTGCACCTCGGCCCTGTGGGTATGATGGGTCAGTATATGCGACTACTGCGTCAATTATCGTATTTTCAAAGTCGTATGGATGCACCGGATGCCGATTCTAGATTAAAAGCTCATTTTGATCAATTGGCGGCTGCAAAAATGATCATGGATGCCGAGTTGCTGCACCCAGACTTTCTACACGAAATTATCCGATTTGCGCTTCTTACGAGTGCAGTAGTCAGCTCAATTTGTACTGGATTAAATGTGTTTGACCTTAATTCTATCTCGCTTCCTCTACCTTCTCCTGACGTTGAGACCAACCGTGTTCTGAAGTACGTTCCGGAACATTTGGTAGATGATTTATGCTCTGTTTTAAAGTTTGTCGCGCGCCTGCAACCGAAAGCGCTTAATTTGTTTGAGCTAGATGGATTATTAAAAATGATTTTGATCTTCCTGTCCAGCCCAAGTTACGTGCATAGTCCTCACTTGCGAGCTAAGATGAGTGAGGTTCTCTTTTATATTTTCTTACCATCTGACGCGTCGGACGAACGCGAGACTGCCGGGACTGCTTTTGGCATGGAACTTCTGAGGTCGAACGTATTAGCACAACGCCATCTTGCGCCGTGTCTGTTGGCTTTATACGGAGATGTCGAACAAACTGGATTTTATGAAAAGCTAGAACATCGCTATAATATTGCGTGTCTTTTGAAATATTTGTGGAAAATTGATGGACACAAATCGGCGTTTTTCACTATTGCTGAAGATCGCGAAAACTTTGTGAAATTTGCGCATGGATTAATGAATCACATCAATAGTTTGGTCACTGATGCACTGATAGCACTGCCAGAAATCAAGCTGCTACAAGAAGAAATGCAAAATATTGCGCAATGGATGGCGCTGGACGAAAGTGTGCGTGAACAGAAGCAAAGCTTGCTATCGGACAAGGAACGGACGGTCATATCGAGTTTACAGTTGGCAAATGAGACGATACATATGATGTCGTACTTGACAAGTGAGATTCAAGCACCTTTTGTCCAGATGCCAGAGCTTGAAGACCGTTTGGTGAGTATGCTAACTAGTGTAATTGTAAAGCTCGCAGGTCCACGTGGCATCGAGCTTAAAGTTAACAATCCTGAACAGTACAAGTTTCGTCCAAAAGTCATGTTGAAGGAAATTGTTGAAACGTTGCTGCACTTTGCTCACTACCCGAGTTTCTTACAAGCTGTAGCGACAAATGGCTATTATGATGGCCCAGTTTTTCGAAAATGTGCTCAAATCGTGGCTCGCACACAGCTCTTGGAACCAAATGACGTGCAAAAGTTCGAGACGTTTGTTGGAGACTTGGCTAAAGCGGCAGAGGGGGCGGCTAGCCTCGAAGAAGTGCTTGGTGATATCCCTGATGAATTTCTTGACCCTTTGGTGTTTACTTTAATGAAAGATCCTGTCTTGTTGCCAAGTGGATACACAATGGATCGATCCTGCATTACGCAGCATTTAATGAATGATCAAAGTGACCCATTCACTCGTGTCCCTTTAACTATGGATCAACTGCAATCAAATACGGAACTCAAGGCGAAGATTGAATCGTGGATCCAAGAACAGCAGCAGAAACATTTGACGACGTAAAAATGTTGAGGATCATAAATGATCAAGGTCAAGATATTCTGTAGGGCCACGAATACTTTAAGATTGCGAGGAAAATTAAATTTCACATCTAATACCTAGGGTCTATGTATGAGATAAATTATGTAACGAGTACATGAGAAGAAAGAAGAGAAATAAGCGTAAACGTCTTTACGCAATTTCTTGGAACACAATTTAAGTAAGGTCACAATGGAACGGTGATGATATATGGGTAACCGTAGCCTTGCACAGAGGAAGCTTTGACACTCAGAGGGTGTGAGCTACCGTACAGCGGAAGGTTTACCAAGCACCACACAAGAGCCGAACTGAGAGCTTTTCGAGAATCAAGTAACTCAGTTGTTTTCACTTCAAGAGTGATATGCTTAAAAATCGATTTTAGCTTCAAATGAATTTGTATACTCTCCATCATTTTAAAGCCATAGATTAGTGAGTCTATCAACCCAACATCTCCCACAGGCTTCTCAACAAAATCTCCCCTTGTCGTACACCAAGATACCACGCACATAGTGAGAATTTTACAAGCATCCACTCCGCCGACAATCGCTTTTCCACTGGCGACCATCAATGTCATTCAAAGTCGTCTCCCGATAGTGCTCTTGTGGTCCTATGGTTTAACAAGATACGTGAAAGGCGCAGTTTCTGCGATTGGCGGCAAGCATACATTCTCACCAAGGCATCGAGGAGCTTTGATGAGCGTTGTAGTGACATTTTGAGCCCTGACCCAAACCTGCGCCGCCACCGGTTACTAGATACATACGCCGTTCCCTGTTTACAGAAACTTTCTCCGAGGACGAGGCACTCGCAACGCTACGCCTCACATGCGCACTCCGCATCCGTTCTATGCAGAGGGGCGTGATACGATACCCCGCCGCGAAACACACAACGACAGACCTAAGGAGCTTGGCCTGGCTCCTAAGCCAAGCTTGTCCGTTTACGAGTGCAATTGTCGCTGCGGCTTTCAAGACTAACGGATGTCGTGATCATTGCTTTGATCCACTGAAAGTCACCCGCTGTATCCCGCCAGACAACTTATACACCATCCGCGCGGGCCTTCAGCAGAAAACAAAGTAAAACGAGCGCTTCTCATCTCGCCAGCACTCAATACGTTTTGCCTAGGCCTCGAGCAGCAGTGGAAATGTAAATCATGCCTCTCCAAGGACCGTAGTAAACGCTGGCAAAAGCTCTACAAGGTCCAATTTTCAACTTCCCACACTTGGTAAAGTATTGTCGCCTTTCCAAGTAACAGCTTGAAAGCTTAATCTAGCAAAGTAAAGATTCATTTGATGCGTGATTTTAAGAAGAACAGAGGACGATGCAGACGTTGAGATGGATGCTCAATGCCTCGGGATCTTGCTGCAAAAGCCCTTCTTCTCGCCATGATTCCTTTGGCCGGGCTGCCGAAAAGGCTCAAACTTGAGACAAGGCTAGTTGAAAGCTGCTACGTAGTATCTTATTACACGGCTATACCTACTCGACCCTGACTAAGATATTTAGCATGTAGCCGACATGTCTTGCATGTTTGGTCCGATTGCGATTTTGTCCACTGAGGGGCTCAAACCCGCGCAGTTCGTTCGTTTTGTCAAAAGATCCAATGCATCTGACGATTTACATACTTAAAAAATGCTGCCGCCTTGGGAGACACACTGGATAGTAACGTCTTAAATGCTCCATGGTACTTCAAGTCTCTACTCTCTATCGTCGCTTAGGCTCTAATATAATTGAAGGGATACAGCGCATATCGCGTATTTTAACCTGAGCGGGCCTCAGCCCATGGGTCTCAGTTATGCTGAGAAAGAAGAGGGAGAGCTCCGAGCTGCCGAGCAGTGTGTAAATGATGATTTGTTTCATCATCTTTGAAGTGGTTGTCCCCTGCGCAAGGCGCGTAAGGGTTCATCAAACCGATGTCCCGCTTCTAACCAGGCTGGTTTGTCGCGGGGAAACCACAAGAACCAGTAGGTACGTGGAGATCTACTGGGGAAGATGTATGTTCTGTTGAGCCACAAAGAGATAAGGGGCAGCAGGTTACAGCCTCGAAAAGCTCCTGCTCTTGAACACGTGTATGCAAATCGGGTTTGCTGGTCGTACAAGCCATTTAAAGGGCTCTGGAAGGCCACGGAAGATCCTTATCGATTCCGGGGTGTCGGGCAATTATACTTGACGCTCCACGATCGATAGAAGTCAGCTGTATACTGAGGCGCTGAGAGCGCGGTTGAGTGATGCTGTCACTGTTCGCTTAGCGACGCGGACTTGTGTCACTGTGCCAAGGGTCCCTGTGGACCTCGGTGTCAAATTTCTTGACTTCGATAGCGTGGAATGCTGCTTAGCCTTAG